TTTGTCTTTTTGTATCGTATCTTTTGATTCACAATTTTCACCTTTGATTTAAGCTTTTTGTTTTTAGCTTCTATCTGTTTCTGTTTCTTGCTAAAAGCCTCAGAATTGTTTATTCCACTTGTTCCATAAGTGTGGTCTGGAAGTACAAGTTTTGCAATTTTACTTGAGTTTTATTTTAATGCACTTTGTTTAAAAATTGTCTTGTTTGTTTCCTTTCAATTGTCAAATAATGGCTGATATGTATGAAGCTTGGCAGGAATGAGAAATATAAACCTCATTAATGTAGGCAATTCAAGTCTGGCTACCGCAATGCGAAGTAAACATCTTGAGGATGGTCCATTTCTTGCTCACAGAACTTCTTCTTGTCAATTTTCTTCACGCTGTTAAATATGGTTTCATAAATAAAGCAAACCTTCGAAATGAAATAGTTTCCCCTGTTCTTACTTCATGTTACTTACTCGTTTAAGGTGTACAATTTGCAACAATGCAGTCATTTGACATCATTTTATAGATACTCAAAAAGTCGCTCAAAGGAATTTTTATTGTGGTAAATTGCCACCAGTCTCTCACCAAAAGAATCATAACCGGTCTTCCTCCAGTGTTTTCCCTCCAAAACTTACCTCCAGCAAGATGGTGCCTGGGTGCTTCAGCCTCGCATCAGTAAAACAATATGAGTGCACACTCTAGCGTTTTTATATTCCTATCCCTATGATGCCCACACAATTCTGCCTTTCCTTAAGTAATACCAAAATTTTCTTTTCTAACTAAAGCACAAAAACTAGACTTTTTGAAAACTCATAACTTTCCTCGTACTTGAGATATTGAGCTGAAATTGCAAAAATTATTTTAAATCTCGCTTTCCAAGATAGGCAAAGAGTTTAAAATAAATCTAAATTTCGACTGACCACTGTAACAAAGGAAGGGAACTTTGTGGTTACTCAAAATGTTTAAGTCCTGGTTATGGTATTGCAAACTACATTGAAGGATACAGACACCTTGCTACTGGATATCTTAAATTCAAACATAACAAATTTAACTTTGTGTGAAAATCGGCCATAGACAATATCGAAACGGAATCTGTTGCTGTTGAAAGTCTAAAACTAAACATGTTTGAAGCAGACTTGCGTTTGTTCAACTATTGAGTGAGGGGGTGTCTTTGTTGAACAAGGCGTAAAAACATTTTTCCTTTATTGGTATTCCTCTCATTTTGTTTTAATTTTTTGCTTGAATTTTGAGGGAAAAAAGAAAAAGAAAAATTGTGACAGAAATCAGAACAAACCGTAGCCAAACAAGCTCAAAGGAAGGAAAAGAAATGAAAAATATAGGATAACATCAGGCAGTGTAAGAGGCAAAAGCTTAATAATTAACATTCCATCAGTTTGTTACCTGTAGTTACTTGTCCTCAGGATTTAATTGGAAAAGAATTTGCCAACGCTTTGATGGAAAACAAAAATTTTGGTCTGTAATATCAAGGTGTCTGATTATGCGTCCTGTCACTATCAATTGTACTGAGGATCTAATTAGCCCCAAGGAGACATTTAGAAGTGATAACTTGATTACTGTTACTTCAAATTATGATACATATGATATATATATATATATATTAAATAAAATATATATTAACTCATTCACTCCCACAGCCACTATAGTCATCGTCTGCTAACGATTTGCAAACAATAGCGCCTGTAGTTGTCACACATTTTCTTCAGTAGTATTACAATAGCGACTACAGTCAACATTGCAAAACAATGGTATTTTTACGAAAACCATTTTTGATTGGCCAATTCAGATTTGATAGTCTGTTAGGCACATGATGAAGCATTGTTTGAAAACAATGAAAACATTAGGTGCCCATACTTAAAAAATTTTCAAACCATGTTCAAAGGTTTGATGGTTGATTTTTTTATATCGAAGAGATAAAAGCATTTGAAAGAATTTGACAATTTTGTTTAGTTTGCTTCACCAGTTAGTCCAGCGAAATCCCTTGGTGAAGATGGAAGTGAGATTGATTTCCAGACAACGATTGGTATCCATCAACTGTCGAAGAAGTCAAACTTTATCTGGGATTCAGAGTTTATACGAGCATTGTGAACACCTTCATTTGGGCAATATTGGAGCAAAGAATCAGTATTTGGAAATTCCTTTATTTCAAATGTGATGTCGAGCAATAGATTTAAAAAAATTAATGAATACTTTCATGTTGCTGATAGGACAACGATGCCACCCAAAAGTTTGCCAGACTTTGATAAACTCTTTTTAGTTGGACCTGTCTTGAAGCTGTTCACAAAAATTGTTTGAAAGCATATAACCCACATAAATGTTTTGCTATTGATGAGGCAATGATAAAGTTTAATGGGCGTTCCAGCTTGAATCAGTATTTGCCTGCCAAACCAACAAAATACCACATCAAAGTGTGGATTAGGGCAGACTCACTGAATGGGTTCTGTAACAAATATTTTGTTTATACAGGAAAACCCACAGGCAAAGAGTCAGAGAAAAATCTTGGTCAAAAAGTGGTGAAGCAGCTGACCGAAAATATGGAAAAAGGGACATCATGGTTACACCAATAACTATTTTACCACTGGAGAGTTGAGGTTGCAGGTGTGGAGGAACGTTTTGAAAAGGGAGTTTATTTGTGTGGCACGATGAAGTCAAATGCCAAAGGACTTCTCCAAGAAGTTAAGGGAAAGAAAATCTGCAAGGAAGCTTGATCTTACATGCAATTTCAGAAAAGGGGATCGGCTTTATCAGCCGTGGCATGGCAAGAGAAAAAGTCACAAAAGCCAGTGAGGATTCTCTCAGGCAATGTTAACCCGTCTGCCAAAATTTCATATGTCGTTCGAAAGAAGGATGGAACAAGAGTTGCAGTTATGTGTTCAATCCAAGTTTCGAACTATAACCAATTTTGAATGCTGTAGATCGCAATGACCAGATAAGGACACAGTATATGACCTATCGTCGCTGCAATTGTTGGTGGACATATATTTTATGCACCTAAATTAACTAAAGAAGGTGCTAATGGACTATTTGCTAAGCAAGAGAATTGACCAAAAAAGAAAACTTTCCTTCTATTAGCTAGCAGTATTCTCATTCCTAAAGAAAATTATTTCATATATATTTTATTGTCGTATGTTGGCTCAATAGATTGATGGCGATCTACTTTTGCTTTTAGACCTGGTTTTAGATCTTGACGAACGAGAAAGGTGTTAGGGCAGATTTCCACTTTGGCAAATTGATTTCCTTTCTTGAGATTTGGTCAAGCTATGGCTGTCAGTGCCTCAGTAGTTTTAGGCTCGTAAACAATATGGCGATGACAAGGCTACAAATTTTGATTCCCATTTTTATTAAGCGACGGTTAAAAAAAAGGCACTGCAGACTCGTAAGCAAATGAGATTTTGGGTAAGGAAAATATAAGCAGAGAGATGTGAAAAGGGAGAGTATCATCAGCTTGTCAGAGAGATGAAACCTTTCGACAAGGAATATTTCTTGCAACATTTGGGATGAGCCCTGATCGTTTTGAGGAACTTCTGAAGTATGTTGCCCCTGAAATAACAAAGTTTTCACCCAGAAGAAAGCCAATTGGTCCTAGTGATAGACTTTGTGTGACTTTATGAGAGCTCGAGTTTCTGGCGAGCAGATGTGTTTCTGAGAGCTCTGCAAAATTTGATCATATGATCTCATTGAAATCAAACTTATCTATATTACTAATCCGTTTAATTAATAACACACTGAGGCATGGTAAACTTTAAAGAAAATATATTCGACTTTTTTGGAAATTATACCACAACGCATTATGGCTAGCAAAGTAGCAAAGAAAACCAAGAACATGGACGTTACCGATTCTATAAACTGGAAGAAACTGGAAAATCAACCGACGATCGGCTTGATATGGTTATCAGCCTTATAAATGATATAAAAGTTGAAAACAAAGAAATTTTCCAGAAATTAGAGAAACGGTTAGACAAATTTGAAAAATTGATGGAGTTTATTAACAAACAGTTTGAGAATCACAAGGCCATCACAGAGTCACTCATCAAACGCAACACTAAATTAGAAGAGTGCAACGCTAACCTCACAAAACAAGTCAACGACCTTAATGGGCAAATACAATCTCTTCGTCAAGATCATAATGACCTTGAACAGGATGCACGCCGCGAAACAATCGAAATCGGAGGAACTCCTAGGGAAAAGGACCAAGACACTATAGACCTGGTCCTAGAAGTTGGCAAGGCATTGGGCATCTCGGTAGATGAACCAGGCATGCCATCGTATCAGCTCAAGAGAAGACACAGCAATAATTTGCAGATTTGCCTCGAGAAAAATGAAAGTAAACTTTATGAGCAACAGAAAGAAACAGACAGACGCGCCATTCGAAAGAAAAGATCTGGGTTTCAAATCCAACAAAGACAAAAAGGTCGAAGTCTTCATCAATGAGTCGTTGACACCAAGAAACAAACTCCTTTTGAAGAAAGCTCGAGACAGGAAAAAAGAATTAGGTTGGAAATATGTTTGGACAAGAAACGGGACCATTTACGCAAGGAAAGAAAAAGACATCGATTTTGTGCGAATTGAAGAAGAACAAGACATTTTCTCAAAAAAAATCAAATCAAATTTTCGCAAAAAATCAACCTGACAGCATGACAAGTTGCATTTCATGTCCAACCTGTGACAAAATTAGTTTGGACACTTTTGATAACTCGATATGCTGCGACCTGTGTAATTTTTAGATTCACTTTAAATGCAGCGGATTGTCCAAAAAACAGTTTCTATTACTTGGAAACAATAACTCCCTGTGGTTTTGTAAACAATGCGCTAAAGAAACATATCCCTTCCACGGACTCGACAATAAACAATTCCGTGATTTCATTTGTGAATCACAAGTGCAATGCAAGGAGCCTCTTGTGGATTTCCATAAACAACTATCGTTCAAAACAACTCACTACGACGAGTAACTAATTTGTCGCCATCCGTGTCGCCATTGTCAAAGTTTTATACACAAAAAGTGTGGCCGCCTTCCAAACTGGCAACTTCACGACATCCGAGCGATTTTAGAAAATTGGCACTGTTCATCTTGCTGTGAAAAAATATTTCCTTTTTACTCTTTAAATATTTTTGAAATAATTGCTGAAGGATTCAACTCCACTGAAACTTGTCCATGTGCTACTATCATGCAAGAGCTAACTGAACTAGAACTTACCGAAACAGTTACAGAATTTGACTTCAACAGACTTAAATTAAACACTGCTCATCCTAATTCAAACAATGATATCGATGAAAACATAAATCTCAAATGTAACTTTCAATACTACTGCACACATGAATTTCTTAAGTTACAACGAAAGCTAAAAGCATTTAGAAACATGCCTTTTAGTATGATGCATACAAACATTTGCTCGTTGAATGAAAATATCAACAACTTAGAATATCTTCAAACAACACTAGGACATAGCTTTGAAATTATAGCCCTTTCAGAAGCTTGGATCTCCAGGAAAACGAAAGTACAATTGAAAACCTACACTTAAATGGCTATCAAAAATTTCATGGTACTCCTGGCAATAGTCTAAAGGGTGGCTGTGGCTTCTTTGTTTCCAAAGGTATTACATTTTTACCCAGGGAGGACCTAGACTACTCTTTTATAGGAAAAGATTGTGAATTTGAAGCAAACTGGATAGAAATTACCAACTCACCAAAGTCAAATTACGTGATTGGCGTTATATATCGTCACCCAAGAAAAAAACAAGAGGATAAATTCATTGAATACTTAACAAACACAGTATTATGCAAGATCAGAAAGGAAAACAAAATCGCATTTATTACTGGTGACTTCTTCGTTATGATACAGAAGCATATACAGACAACTTCTTGAATCTCTTACTATCAAATTTTTTCCAACCTCACATAATTCAGCCGTCTAAAATTGCTGGTAATCAAAGACCTACTCTGATCGATAATATTTTTCTGAACTCATTAGAATTTGAGACCTTTAGCGGTAATCTGATCTCTAAAATAACAGATCATATGCCTAACTTCATATTCTGTCAAAACCTAAATGTTAAATTTTCTAAGGGTAGGAAAAGTTTTTATCGTGATTACAATAACTTTGATGCTGACTCATACATCTCAGACCTAAGACAGGTGGACCTTGTAAAATTAATAAATGCTGAAAATAATCCGAATGCAAAATTTAATGTCTTTCAGGATACACTGTTAAATATTATCAATAAACACGCCTCCTTAAAGAGATCCCTAAGAAAATGCATAAAATGAGAAATAAACCCTGGATTACAACTGGTATTCTTAAATCAATCTCAGTGAAAAATAGATATTACTCAAAATTTTGGAAAATGAAAGATCCCTCATGCTACCAAAAATATAAAGGATATAGAGACCTTCTAAATCATCTGATAACAAAAAGCAAAAAAATCTATTACATTTCCTATTTTGACAAATTCAAAAAAAGTTCGAAAAAGGTTTGGTCTGGCATTAATGATATCATTCAAAAACAGAAAAAGCACTCCAATGACCTTTGCCTTTCAATTAATGGTAAATTGACCACTAATCATAAAATCATAGCAAACTGTTTCAACGAATATTTTACAACTGTTGCACAAAGAATAGTTGACAAAATGAAACCCCCCACCAAGAAGTTTAAAAATTATCTTAAAACACTAAACCCAAGAAGCTTTTTTTTCAACCCGTTACACCTCAAGAAATTAATGACTTAGTTGCCAACTTAGACAAAACTAAAGCCAATGACTCATATGATCTACCCGTAAAACTCATTAGACTAGTAAGGTACACAATTTCATTGCCTTTCTCTTTAATAGCTAACTCAACATTTGAAAAAGTAATTTTTCCAGAGAAATTGAAATTTGCGAAAGTGGCACCAATACACAAGGGCAAATCAAAACTTGAACTTACTAACTATAGACCTATCTCAATCCTACCAATCTTTAGTAAACTTCTAGAGAAGGCAATGCACTCTCGTTTGGCTAACTTTTTAGACAAGTACAGAATAATTTTCAGGCATCAATTTGAATTTCAAAAAAATAAATCAACAACATTGGCAATCTTAGATCTCTGCACAAAGCTAGTTGAAAACATTGAAGGAAAACGTTTTTCATGTTGTATCTTTCTAGACTTCTCTAAAGCCTTTGATACAGTCAATCATGGTATTCTGCTAGATAAGCATCATAGGAGTCAATAGAAGGTTTTTCCAATTTCCTTTTTCTGGAGTTTGATTTGGGTCTGCTACCTCCTACTGGCGTGGCTGTAATGCTGGTAGGACTCTTCAATTTTGAGGTTGCTGGTAGTTGGCCTATTTGTGTTTATCTTTTATGAAAGTCAACTGATCAAACATTTTACATTTCAGTAGTTTTCCGGCTGCAGCCCCAGAATGTGTCATCAGTTCCTTTGTTTGATGCACTTTGTGAAGCCATCCTCTGGTAAATCAGAATTCCAAATTTATTTTTTAGCGACAAAATAGCTGAGAGTCTAGTTGAAATGTGTTACTTAACAATGTTTTTAGAATTATATTTATATGAATATTTGTTTACAACACCATACCTGCCGTAAAAGGTCTATTAGAAAAGGGCTAAATGAAAAGTCAAAATGGCAACTATGTGCATCTAGTTTCAAGTTAAAGTCGTAGTTTTTCACTTTTGCAACATGGAACACATCCAAGTGATGCTTTTTTTTTCTTTCTGTCCGGATAAATTTTACGACTGGTCCATGACGATTTGTGACCAAAGTATTGTACAACAAATGCTCACTATCTAACAGCTGGAAACATCGTTTTATACCTTCAAGTTCCATGTTTTTTGCACCACCAACTTCATTACTCTTGAAAGACGGATTTTTGTACAGACACATTAGGCATGATTCAAAAACTAGAAATGTTCGCTCATTCCATCCAACTGGCGTAGTATTTATAGACTCACCATATTCTTCTGATGCTGAAGATTCATTTGGTACCCACTCATGGCTATCTGAAGATGACATTCTCTCCAAGCTTGCTTCTGGACTCAAATTGGTAATCACAGCTCTGACAGGAAGCTGCCGTTCAACTGAATGCATGCATCTTTTGTCCTGTGCTCTGTCTTGGTATCTAGAATAGAAATACAGTGGATCAAATCTAGAGAATTTTGATTGTAGCTGAAGTTCCTAACAATGGTTTCTTTTGACAGTTCTACTTACTAAGAGCATTTGATATTTTTTGATATTTTTGCTGCTTTCCGTTTAGCCTGTGGATCAAATTTTATTTTCAATATTTTCCAAGACCCCAAAAGTATTCAAAAACAGCCTTCAATAAGAAAAAAGATATTTCAGATAATTTCAAATTTATGTTTTACCTTTTGACCATGATCTAGTATTTGTTTGGGTTCCTTTAAAGTGCCAATAAACCAGGGTCTGTGTGCTCGGATTAGCTGCAGGGTAGACCTCGTTTGAAATGACTGTAATTGGGTGGATGAATCACACATCTGTCTGTCAATACCGATTTCACTCTCTGAAATTTGTGATCCAATTTGTGCATCGGCAGTTGACTTTGTTCCATAAGATTGACCAAGCGATTGACTGTGATTGTTTGTAACATATCAGATACCAACTATGGAAAAATTAGCTTGCATATTTAAAATAGACAGATTATTATTTTGAAAAAACAAACAATGTAAAACATGTAAGACCTGATTTTATAAACTGAAAACGTGCTTAAAAAGTAATCCCTTTGCACTAGATTTCTCCTATTAATTATTTGAATGATATTTTGCTAACAGCAACTCACAAGGCCTCTGGAAGAGAATCGTTTCATTTGACACTGACAAGTCAGGTAAAATAACTAAATTTAAACAATGGTGCATTTCTCATGTAAACAGCTCAAATTTTCATGAAACACTAATGATGGATTGGCAAGAAGCACTCTGTTGTTGTTGCTACGATTTTTTACACATGCATGGTACAGGTACATTGCATTACAACAGTCATGAAAATAAATATCGTTGGAACAGCATCTTTTTTCAGTTTGATTTGTTTCTCACCAGCCAAATCAAGAGACTCTACAACATGTCAGCTTACCTCAAATTGGTCATCCTCGAAATGTTTCTCGCAAAGCCTTGAATGATCCTTAACAACAAAGTTTTCCAGGCGCATATTTTGCACCCACAATGGACGGTACACCAGGTCTTTTAGAAAACTAAAAAACCTTATTCTTCTTTCTGGATGGGTACAAGAAGAGGCATTTACCTTGTCAGACCTTTTTATACTGTCCTCGAAACAGTTATACGCATTGCAGTGTAGTATTTTGCTGAAATTTGCAGCTGATTCCTACCTGCAATTTATGCAGATTATATAGGCCCACATTGCGTGCAGGAAAACCAGTGATGACATATGACATCACAATGGCCACATGGATTCTCGGAAACGATGGAAAACGATAATTGTCCTGCAGAAGAAATTTGAATTATCAGCTCAATTACTCGTAAAATATCATAGAAATACAAAAAATAACATCACATCGTGTTAAGCACAACAAGTACCAGTACCTGTACAAAAAATAAAAATATTCCGCCATTCTCCTTTAAGAGCACCATTTTGCCAAGAGGCTCTTCCTCTTCAAACAATACAAAGATCCATATTTTTTGTTGCACCTCCTCTTAAAGTAAATTTCCAGAAATCAAAGACTATTACGTTCCTTTACTGGAAATGTCAGAAGATGCTTTAAAAACTGGAAGGATCAAGCCAGGTAAATCAAAATGTTGAGCAAATGATTACAATAGACAAGAGCCTGTAAGAGCTTCCAAGCGCACGCAGATGAAAATAGATGCCATTGCCTTTAAAAAAACTAAGCTTGATGATTTGGCATCTTCTTCCCAGGCTTTCACAAGGGTTTCTTCCGAAAGCAAGATGGTTGACAGCTCAAAAATGGACGTTTGACGTCTTCCTTCACTTCCAGAAGCTTTCTCCGCCTCTTCCTGTCCTCAAAATGACATCGGAAATTTTTACCAATCGTGCTTTTTCCTTTGGGATCAAGTGAAGTATGATCTTCTGAACAATATTTGAAAACCTGGAAAGGACTTTCATTTCCCTGTCAATTCCTTGGGGTGTCGATTTCTGCATTTTTGGTTGCAACAGTATCCATGGCTTGCGTATTCCTACATGTTAGATGGGGCATTTTGCATTAATTGTGTTATGTTTGGTGGTCAATACACACACAACGCTTCAAAGCTTAGGCATCTTTTTGAAAAGCCTTTTAAGAACTGGTCAAAGGCCTTGAAGAAGCTTAATGACCATGTTGAAAAGTCCCCTATTCATAAGACAACAACATAATTTCGTTTAAGAATGCAAAATAAAATGAGCTCTGTTGACGTCCAGCTGAATCATGCTGTTTCCAAGCAGGTTTAAAAAAATTGGGAAAAACCCAAGCCAATAGTTGGAGCAATTCTCTTATTGGTAAGGCAGGCCATTGCTTAAGAGGACACAGCTGATTTAAGAGGACACAGGAATGATTCTGATTTCTATGAAGTGGATTCAAACAATCCTGGAAACTTGCAAGAAATTTGGTCTTTTTTCAACTTAATTTTCAGGACCACTTTTTGAATGCTCCTGGGAACACAACCTATCGGTCCAAAACTACCCCAAGATGAAATTATAGCAATTTGTGGTGGTGCTGTACAAAAGTCTTTGGTGAACGAAATACAGCAGGCAAAGTATTTTTCAGTACTAGCTGACGAGGCAGCTCATGTCAGCAATGTGGAGCAAATGTCTAAACATGTTCGTTTTGTTGATGGTACATCTACAATTCACGAGAAATTTTTAGGATTTACAGAGTGTAATGAAGGTCTAACTGGCCAGGCAATAGCAAAGAAAATCAAAGAGAAGTTAGAGGAGCTTGGCTTGCCTATTGCTAACTGTAGAGGGCAGGGATATGATGGCGCAGCAAACATGTCAGGAAAATGCTCTGGTGCAACAGTTAACATACAACAAGATTAACCCAAAGCTATCTATGTCCATGGTCGATCACATGTTTTGAATCTATGTATAGAGTCAGCTTGTCAAATTCAAATGGTAAAAAATATGATGGGGTACGTGCGAGTCGTGTCTGAATTTTTTAATGTAAACCAAAAGGGATATACATTGCTTTGCGACAAAATAAAATCTTTGTTTCCTCAATCTCATCATAACCATCTGATTGATGAATGCCGCACAAGGTGGGTTGCATGAATTGATGGTCTTGAGGTTTTTGTTGAGCTTTTCTGGGCAATTGTTGAGGCACTGGCTGAAGTTAAAGATAACTTCGAAGGAACGTGGAGCTAAGATTCATGTAGGGGTTTTTTTAAGGATCTATTTCATTCCAGTTTATTGTAACACTCGTCGTTGTCTATCATTGTCTTGCACTTACAAGACCATTAACCAAACAATTGCAAGCTACTGATTACGATGTTGTGAAATGTGTCAAAAAGGTGAAATTTCTGCCAGACATTATGTTTGCAGATTTCTTCTTGACATTCCTGCGGCATTTCATCTTGATGATCAATGTTAGGCCAATTTTCGAGATCGTCTTTAAACAATTTGCGACCTGAATGCCAGAGATCATTCATTTGCAATTTTGTGACATCATATTTGCGAATAGGAACATCTGCAGGATTCTCCTTCCCGGTGCAGTATGACCAGAGGTAAGTATTGGCAAATTTTATAATTTATTGCGCACGGTTTTCAACAAATATCTTCGCTTCCTTTCCTTTTCCCTGTATCCAATAGCGTGCTGAAGTGAAATCCGTCCAACATTTGACAACTTTGGTTTAAACAATAGGATTTAGTGATTTTTTCACAGAATCGATTGATCGTGCAAGAGGTAGACCAGCTAGCAGCTTTAGCCTTGGAATGTTATGGAGTCACATCATGGACAAAATAACAAACAATAGATTGTATCGTGATACGTGGATCATACTGTCAGATACCTGTGATTCATCCTGTTACGTCACGGCACAGCTTGACAAGTTTGATGAGTCAATTTATGGCATCGTCCCACGATCTACAAATCATAACATGATTGATAATGTGATTTGTAGACTGTCCCGTCAAATCAACAATCATCTATTAAATCAGGGGTCATCACCTGCTTTTATGGTTTCAGGTTAGAAACAAACGGAAGTGCTTATTGCAGAGATTGTATGCTTTGCACTGCTCTCCACAGGAACTGTTTTCTTTCAAAATGGCTCCAAATGTTTCAGCAGATGTAAGTTCCAGAGAAAATGTGTTTACTTATATTTCGTCTCAGTTACAAAAACCCTTGAGAGATTTGGTGGACACTTTTTCAATCGACAGTAATATTTTTGATTACGTCAGTTACCGACTGGAACAAGTCATTATTACTTGCCTTCAGAGTAATGAAACTTTGGATATTTCATTCCAGACAGTTGCATTTCGGCTTTAGTTTCTGCACATGATATTTGAAGAGATGAACACATTGAAATTAAAAATAATTCTGAGTTGGTTATGAGGCTTTTAAAAGAGCTTCCGAATTGTGGAATAAGATGAATGAAAGGATTTTTAACTGCAAAAAGGTATAAAGTACAGTGGCGGAGAATTCGCTATGCTATGTGGTCTGTGGACACCAAAAGAATGTTGCTACGAAAAACTCAGCTAAACGTTGTAAGCAGGAGATGTTACTAGGTCCACAATTCTCTTGTGAGGCTTTTAAAAGAGCTTCCGAATTGTGGAATAAGATGAATGAAAGGATTTTTAACTGCAAAAAGGTATAAAGTACAGTGGCGGAGAATTCGCTATGCTATGTGGTCTGTGGACACCAAAAGAATGTTGCTACGAAAAAATTAAGCTAAACGTTGTAAGCAGGAGATGTTACTAGGTCCACAATTCTCTTGCTCTGTGGCACATAGATGGGAACCACAAGCTAATTCGATGGAGGTTTGTAGTTCATGGCTGTGTAGATAGTTTTTCGAGCAAGATGATGTTTCTCCAGTATTCAACTAATAACTGTGCAGAAACAGTATTGGAGCTTTTTCTTGGTGCAGGTGATAAATAAGGATGGCCGTCTAGAGTGAGGGGGATCAAGGAGTTGAAAACGTAGAAGTTGTCTTTCACAAAAATAAACTTAGACCTAGCTAACTCTGATTTCTACTCGGTGTAAAAATATTGGAAACTCTCGTTTCAGGACAGACTCTTTTTGAAGCAAAAGCAGTTTTTCTGCTGTAGACAATTCCAGTATTATTTCGATTTTAGTAGACTTGCATTTGGGTAAATGATACTTTAGTGTCCGGTGCTTTTTTTCTAAATTCCCTACTTTACTGCCTAAATTCCCTACACTGCCATATTTGTTATGCTCTCTTTGCGAAATCCTTCTGACAGTCGAAAAAAGTTTATTGGACTGCCAACAAACAAAAATGAAGTTGCATGAATCAATAGGGGTTAAAGGAGACCAGCAAAGACCGGGAAAGTCAGGGCAGATCAACCACATTTCCTATGAAACTTAAAAAATTAAGCTGAAAATCTTGATACATGCACAAGTCTTCGTGTAACGAACGCTCTAAAATGCGAATTCTGAACCTCCAGTGGCCATTTTTAAAAAAGGATGGGAATGTCCGTGCTAATTTCTGCAGGCTGTTGTTACGTCAGAGGTGAATATTGATTCAGCACAGCCTCATCCAAGTGAGAATTTTATTACATCTGCTGGGAATCGTCATTATGGCAAGCAACAAAGATGACAAAATATGGAATTATGGTACCATTGATACTTCAACTTTAGAGATTCAGCCTTTTCAATTCAAGCCACTGCCGGGCGCTAGTCCAAGCGGTCAAGATGACAATTTTGACGAAAGGGGTGACGCCACTGATACGAAAGTGGAAAGAAATGGTAACATTGATTGGTAGGTATCATGATATTTGATGCTAGTTTTGTGTAATGAAATCTTTACTTGCTGGTATGATTTACACCAGCCATGTTTCTGCTGTAATTGGTAGATTTTAAGCAGACTTGCTGGCTTGAAACATGTCTTACCCTTGCTTGGCTATTGATTCAAACCTGTTTATTGTATAGGTGCAAATGTGTATTGTATAGGAGAGAGAGTCTGTGCTGCATAGAGATCCCGAAAGTGAGTAGCAAGGCTATTGATGCAAACTGCCAGTGCATCACAGAACTAGGTGGCTTCAATTCAGTTTGTCTGGACATAGATGTTGTGATAACAGCCATCTATCAGTATATTGAAGATGAGGAATACATTGATGATAAACCAACAAGCGAGTATGCTTCATTGCAAATTATTCATATTGCCTACAAATTAGCATCATAATCTTCTATATAATTAGTTTTGAATCTTTTTCAAATATAAGTATATACTTTATGTATATTCTGTAGAGGTTATGTCAGAAATAAAAATGCAGCTATTTAGGCAAATAGATTTCCTCCTCAGGAACCTTGTTTGGTTTTTTCACTTGCAGAATGGCAAATAATAGAGTTTTTTTCCTAGGCTGTTCAGATACATAAGCTACAGACAATTTGTTAGATGGTTGTGGCATCATTTAGGGAAACATCAGAGTAGGATACTACCACCCTGTGTTGTCAACAAGATTCGCTGTGCCTTTCCTTCTGATGAATTTACTGGTTTCAAATATCCTGAAATATCTTGAATTGTTTTTATAATCCTTATTGATGTATAGATATAAAAAAATTTGTCATGGCATTTCATCCGCTTAATATCAACAGAAAATGTGTAAAAATATTAATCAGCTTTCCATCCTATTTTTTTCTTGGTCTCTTTGTTTCTTGTTTCTGTTCAGCAATTTTTTCTATTCTCTTCTTGCGTCTCATCTGTTGTGGCCCCTCATAGCTGTCATCTTTTTCAGATATTCCCAAAACTGATTTATTGTCAGATACTTTCAGGTATCCGGTTTTATGTTGTTTCACAACTTCGTCCTTATCCTCTTTCTCAATATTCTCTGTCAAATGCCCTGGTGTAGATACAGAAAGTTGTGCAACTTTCGTCAAAGATTCTGAATAGCTGCTGACTTTCAAGCGCCTCCTTACACTCATGTGCAGTAGTTCAGTGACATATCCTTAAAAAAATCAAAGAATTATATTTACTTGGATCATGAAATCAATGCTGATAAGTGGCTTTAGACCTGAACAGTTTCACAAATATTGATGGACTTAGATATGAAAGTTCTTATCATATGTTGGCTTTGTCTTCACAGGTTTGGCTACAGCTCCTTTCTTGTATTTGGGATAGGAAATCTTCCATCTCTCCTTACCCTGCTTTGTCATAGCTTGCGTTTTAATTGCATTTTCATTCAAATGTAAGGCTGCCGAGAATAATTTTTATGGAAAGAGAAGGTGAAGATTCCGGTCACAAAAAAGCATGTTTTTCTATTTGTTTTTTATTGCATCAAAGGTTCTAATATAATCTGTTAATAGATTTAGCAAATTTAAGGCTATATTGCAAGTAATAATTAAGTAGGAATATTATTGCTAGAGTGCTACCTTGCTTTCATTGCCAAATATGAAAAATGTGTGCTTTTTGGTGGAAATTGTATGACAGCGTTGTGGAATGACTACAAGGCACTTGTCTGTTGCAGTGGTGACAGCTTCTTTATATCATTAACAAGTTGCTTTTTGCAAATGACAGCCTTTAGCTCTTTGTAACCCTTGCTTCCTAGAACAGAACAATGAAAATAGATTTTGATATTGCAGTAACGAAAAAGAACAGAAGATACTTCGCCTCGCATTACATGAATATGGTTGTAGGGCCTACTAATGATAACTCTATAAAGCCAGGGGCGGATCCAGCTCAAATTTTGAGGGGTGCTTAAGTTTTTTGCAGTTGAGGCAAGACGCCACGCCCTTTTCAGTTGCCAGGTAACGCCCTTTTCAGTTGCCAGGTAACGCCCTATGGCCTTACTTAAGAAATTTTACTCGATCGGTTGAAGTCTCAATAACTACCAAGAAAACTACATAGAAATCCATTTACATTCTGATATCATAAAAACCAATTTATCAAACACAAAATATCTTCATCAAATTATTAACGATTTAATGAGCAACTATCGCATACAACTTTGACGGGTCAAACTTAGGATTTCTGAAACAATGAAAACCTAAATGTTTAATGAGCAACAAACGAACGCCACTTTGATGGGTCAAATTCAGGGTATCTCAAACAACGACAACTAAAATGTTTAAATGAGCAACAAGCGCAGACGACTTTGATGGGTAATAATCAGGGTATCTCAATCAACGACAACTAAAATGTTTATTTGAGCAACAAACGCAGACCACATTGATGGGTCAAATTCTGGGTATCTTAAACAACGAAAACTCAAATGAATAGATGAGCAACAATCGAAGACCACCACGATGAATGGAAGTCATAACAGCTCGATGAAAAACAACGCAGACCATATGGCTGGTCAGCAACGATTCAGATTTTGAATGCCCCAAAAGCACAAAAATTGAACTAGAAACTAATGTAGACCAGTTAGGTGAGTTAAAGTAAAGAAAACAGCAACTGATGTTGAAAGCAGAAACAGCCTTAGATAGGTCAGAGCCAGTAGCTTGCAGTATGTACTTTGCTGGTACTTATTCACAGTCAGGATCTGTGTTTAATATGTCAATCAACTTCATCCGTCTAGGATGCCTTCTTGCAAAACAATCAATTATCTCATCAGTATTGATCCTGACTCCTCTATGAACGCATAGCAGAGCTAGCCCATTGCATCTTTGTTGCAACATGGTGTTTCGAAGGTATGTCTTTAGCCTGCGAAGAACAGAAATAGACCTCTCGCAAGTGCATGTTGTTACTGGCAATGTCGCTAGGATCTGGAAACAAGCATATATATTTGGGAATGTTAATTTGTCAATTTTCGGAAGAAGTGCAGATAATGTTGATGGGATGTTTTTTGAGGATTGCCAATGGTCTTTCCACATCATCAGTTTGGTCTTGATATATCTTGGCTCAGGAAGATCACTGATATAAAGATCGAGAAAAGAGCCGAATCTGTTTTCCCACTCAGGAGAAGCTGCAATCATATTCGGCATACCGTAAAATCCGTCTAAAACCGACTTGTTTCTATCAGAGAAACGAGCTTGCATTTGGCCTGACAAGTGATCCAAGAAAGGGATTGCGACATTTCGTTTATAATATTGAGAGACTGATTCAGAAGGAGCATTAGACCGGTTAACTTGCATTAGAACAGTGCAAGGCATCGCAGTAAAAATGGAGTTTGATTCAGCAATAGATGCTGCCTCTTCATACCAGCCTAGATAAATATCATCAATTTCAGATCGTAAGCGATGTAGAGAAGTACACGTCAACGAAATCTTCTCTTTTGCAGCAACAACATCAAACGAGACCTTTTGAAATTGTTTAGTGAGAGGCCCGGTAATTTCAAGACAGCGTGAAACAACGACAAGTACCAATATGAACTGAAAAGATGTTGTTGAATAGAACAAACCACTCGCGTCACGGACCAAATCAGAATACCACGATTTGTCTAAATTTAGCATGATAGTTTCGAGAGACCTTACAACGGCATCATAGAGCTCCAGAAATACATCTAGCCCATCAATTCTCTCGACCCACCTTGTCCGGCAAACATCGATGAGGTGGCTGCGACGCGAAGCAGGAAGCACCTCTCTGATGACTTTCTTCAGGATTTCAAATCGTGTAGTGCTTGAATTGAAAAATTCTGTGACAACACGCACATGCCCCATCATGTTTCTGACAACCTGAATCTTACAAGTGGAGGCTACGCAAAGATTTAGCACATGCGATCCACAATGAGTGTAAGGAGCATTAGGATATGACTGGCATATCCTAGCAGCAGCTCCAGAGCATTTGCCTGCCATGTTGCCAGCACCGTCATACCCCTGGCCACGACAAAGGTTCATGTCTAAACCAAAACCTTCAACAGCCTGAAGAATTGTATTGGCTATATCTTTGCCTTTCATGCCTCCAAAACAGGGAATAAAGCCCATAAACTCTTCGCGAATTTTTGCCTGATTGTCAACAAACCGGATGACGAGGGGCATCTGTTCAATATTACTAATATCTGCTGCCTCATCAGCAAGAATCGAAAAGAACCTAGCTTCATGAACCTCTGACCGAAGCTTAGAAATGATAAACTCGCCACAGATGTTGATTAGCTCGTTATGAGTAGTTTTAGATCTGTATGTCATGTTTTTGGGGGCATTCGTCATTTGCTCGTTAAATGCTTCATTGTTACCACAGCGGACGAGAAATTTCAACAATTCTTGCAAAATACCAGGACTATGTGAATTGTCATCGTAATGAGCAGAATCGCCCCTGTGACCCCGAAACGAAATATTTTGACGTCCAAAAAGCATAATACCTTCCACAATCGGAAATAGCTTGGCCCGATTCTTTCTTATTTGTTCATCAACTAAAGCATTGAGTTGTTGATCAATGGGCTTGCATTTTTGCTCCATAACGAGACAAAATTGAGTTGCTCTGAGTGTGGCAGAACGGTGAACATTTGATTTTGCAGCATGGTCACGGAACTTTTGCAAAGCTTTTGACCACGCAGTGAGTGGTGATGTAAATAAGTGGTCAAGCTTGTTTTCCCCATGCTGACTTTTCTCAGGAATGCCAAAAACTAAGCAGTTGATGCAAAAGGCACCATCAACATGTTTGGAGTAAGCAAGCCACGGAAACTCTGCAAGCCATTTGTGTTGAAACTTACGACGTGTAGAATTGACAGGAAATAGATAGCCAGGCTCAGGTTTCCAGTGATTTTGAAGGACCTCATATTTCTGCTCATTATTCAAACTTTTACAATATTTGAAGCATTCACCAACATCAACTTGAAAAGGAACAGTAAAAGAGTTCAATGTTATTTGATCCTTCTCTGGGGGCGTGTCAAGAGAAGTTTGAGAAACAAAAGTGTCTGAGGACGAATACTCTTGCTGAGGTCTAACTAATTCTGAAGGGAAATCAGCTGATAGACCTTTTACTTTGAAGTTCTCCAGGGTTGACTGTTTTCTCCTTTTAAATGGAGGACCTGGGGCATCTTGAACTTTGCTGTTTGGTAGGCTGAGAGGTGGTATTGGAAGCACAGAAGTGGCTTCTTCGATGGAACGGCAGGCTTCTTCGATGGAACGGCAGGCTTCCCGTTGTGATTCTCAACAATTCATGAGTCGCTGAACGTATGACATGTGATAAAGTCTAATTCAAGTAAGAAAACCAAACTGGGGGATAACTTGTTTCCTTTACTCTTAATTTGAAAACAAATGGCTCAACCAAGTCTGATTTGATACTGACAAATGATAAAGGTAGAAGGAAAGAAGGCAGATAATAATTCCTGGTTTTTCTACATTGTGTGCGTTTCTGCATGCCTAAATTTGAGTCGTTCTAAAAGGGGTGATGGCCTAAGTTTTTCACCAAGAAAAGTAGCCTGTAGTAATGTTGCTTGTGCAGAAAGAGAGAAAAGCCGATAAGACTGTCTTTACACAAGCATGTAGATTATACAGCGAAGAATGTGCTTGTAGTACGTTTATTTTATTAGGAAGTACAAAAAACTGAGGAAACAATTTTTACTGAAATCGTTCCATAAGGGGCGACGTGACTCTATAAAATGTTTATTGTTACAAAAGAAGATTGGTGCTCACCAAAAACTCACATCATCGGAATGCAATTGGATTGGTATACTCTGTAAAATTATAGTATCAGGTGACACAACTATTAAGTCATAATTATCAAAAGCCATAAGTATCTGGCTAAAAGTTTGGAAATGTTGAAAACATACATTTGATATCTGGGAAGGGACAGTTTGACATTGCTTTGACAAAGAAAAGCCTGTTGTCTGGACCAATCCATCAGTAACTATGGGTTGTGAAGATGATGTTTGAATGACAGAGTCTTTATAGTTGCTGGATGTATTGTCAACTGTAACATCTGATCTTCAGGTGGTTGAGTTTTACGAGTTTCACAGGGACAGTTCTGTTGCCGCAGGTTGCGTATTACCTAGAGTAAACAGATTTTACAATGTCAAAATCTAAGCAATGTAGCTTGATCATATAGATAGTGATGAAAAAGTTTTTGAGAGAATCTGTAGGCTTTTTTATTTGATGCATTTTAACATAGATAAAAGAAGGAGGATAGTCTGGAAACTAACAATAGCCTATTTTTAAACTTGTTGTTCTGTCTTGGCGGCTAGTACCCATTCTCTTCCACGCATAGCAGAAACAACCATAGCAAGTCAATGTCGCAGTCACTAAGGAAAACATGATAAATGAAGTATAAGTCAATGGTTTTATTTGATTTGGGAACCTTTGTTTATTATAATGCCTGGAGATAACTGCTCAATCTATGGCTGTGGAACCTCTAGGTCTAAAAAGTACAAGGGAGTTGGAATTTTCAAGGTTCCCTCTGGTGAAGACCCCTTCAACACAAAATTGAGAGAGCAACTTATCCATGTTGTGACAAAAAATCGAGTAATTGACGCTAATCTTCGGTCGCAGATCAATGCCAAACAGATCTTTATTTGCCAAAGACATTTTACAGATGACCAAATAAATGCTAACAGAGACCCAAGTGAGTTTCTACAACTTTATTCCTTCTTCAATTTCTTCCTCTTTGCTATGATCGTATGACTGCCTTTTAGATGCAAAGTGGAAACTTTAGTCTAAAGTCATTATTTTTCTATAACCTTACATTACTTCTGTTCAATTCAGTTCAGTTCATTTCAGTTCAATTCAGTTCCTTAATTTTTACTTATAGACAGCAGTTTTACTTCTAGACAGCAGTTTTACTTCTAGACAGAAGTAAGATCTCAAACCTGGAGCAATTCCATCATCTGCCAACGAAGAGTATTGAAACCGACAGGCCTTGTTTATAATATATTAAGGAGCGAATCCAATCATAAGAACAAATCAGTTGTTATTTTTTGGAAAGAAATTTATCTCAAAGGTAAAAGTGCCCTCCAATAGAGTTTATAGTATTGCAGATTTATGCAACTTCAAAAACTGGGTTTTTCTCTGTTCAGTCCCTCTTTGGTGTAACCCACAATCTTTCTTACATAAATTACTTTTTTTTTTGTTTCTGCTACTGAAATGTAAAGCTATTTATGTTGCCTATAAGGTGTTTTGTGAAATTTGTTGATTTAGTGTCAATTTTTTATTTCAGACCAGAACCAAGAGAGTGGGCAGAAATCATAGCAAAAAAGAAGGCTGCTTCTATTGAAAAAAATGCTATCTCCAAGAATCTAAACCTGTTTATAAGAGTTTAGAAGAAATGGTCAAAATTAGAAGAAATGGTCAAAAAAATTGAAAGCTGAATTGGAAAAAATGGAATTTTGGAGAGCATTTACCAGAATTTGTCAAATTGAGAAGAGAGGACAATGTTCATGCACGCTGTGTACTTTGTACATTGACAGATGTTTTGTGTTTTCCTTACATATACAAGGGTGGGTTCTTCCTATCAACCACAAGATATACAAGGAAGAAAGATCCTTACAGCATATCTCATTGCCTATATTTCTGACTGAACTGGAGCATATGGTATCTGCGCAGGAATTAGCTGTAAAATAGCAACAAATTGAGTCATTGAAATAATTGAGCATTGTGTTTCATTCCTTTCCACAATTTGCCACTGCAACACCAATTTGGCAAATGGTCTAAAGCTGGTTTTCCACTAGGCTGAATTTTCCCCGCGCAGCGGAGCAGCCATTGTATTTGCATTGTTTATTTCAACAATAGCTGTTTCTTGTCGCTCTGCTGCGTGTGTATTTGAAAGTCGGATTTACTTCAACTTTTCCACCGCGTCCAATGGTGCCAACCAATCAAATCGTTCAATGCTTTGACACATGACAGAAGAGGAAAATCAAGGATCATATCAAAATCTGATGGCTACATTCAAAAATATCTAAAAAACAGTTCTTGGTCAAAGAGCCTCATGTCGTTAACCAGCAAATTAAATTCCCCTTTTTCTTTTCTCGCTTGATAAAGCTCACGACCCCAACATTTTTTCTGGTTCTTGTTACTTGTCTTTTGATCTTTGAAAAACCATAAGCTTTAGAAATTGAAGCTTTTTCATCAAGAGTAACCTGTGGCGTCTGTCAATATTCAGGGAAAGTATTGGACTATTATTTCTTCCAGTGGAAATTGAAGTCCTCATCCGTAGGCGTGCATTGTTTCAAAAACAATAGCCGCTCTGCTGCGCACGGAAAATTCCGCCTAGTGGAAAACCGGCTGAAAGGCTGTCAAATGTTGATTGAACAATCAGGTCAATGCCTTGAATGCACAGTTCCAAGTTGCAAATGGCTTTAACCCAGAAAAACGCTTTAGTAACATGCAGTTTTTAAATAGTAGACTTCCATTCAGAGATGAAATTTTTACAGGTTTATAGTCTTTGCTACCCATTTATTATCATGGCATCACAGTATTTTAGCAGTTAACATGCATAGATCCCTGTGCAAGTGAGATTGCATTCAATATTCTTTATACCCTTTAACAATGTGCTTTTCTTGTTCTTTTTTAGATTACAGGATAGTTTTTTGTTAAAACTATTTATAAATATTACCCCCTCACCATTTTTAATCAACTGGCACTTTTTGCATAATTCTTCTCTTGGTGGTTATGGCATGTTTCTTTGTTCAGTTGTGATTTCCATTCTAATAATAGGTATGCATGGACAACTTTTACAAACCTGGTATAACTGAAAAGTGCACCTTATGGTCGGATAAAGTATTGGTTAATATGCAAAATTTTTTTGTGACAGAGGTTAAGCGTCGTTATGCAGCATTTCAAAGCTTTTTAGATCTTGCATTAGACAGTAGAATTGAGGCAGCAACGCTAACTGTTCTCAATCAACAGTCCTTCCACTATGTGCCATGCCAAGAAGACCAATTTCTAATGCATGCAAGTAAGCACACCAAGAGGCAATTTTTAACAAATATTGCGGCAGGGGTTGTTGACAAATTTATCTCGAGACAAGATTATGTGGCTCATACTCTTCCGAAAAGGTTAAGAGAGAAGAAGAATTGACTTCAGCGACATTAAAAGATGGCAAATTTAAATGCAAAAGTGAAGGATGTACAAAGATTTTTAAAGTGAATGGTAAGAGAAAGAAAGACCATGAAGAAAAAATGCATGGTTTAGTTCCTAATGAGGATGAATCAATTGGTCATAAGGATGACATGTTGCATTATCAATGTGCGTTCATGGAATATATGATGATTGTTCACAATTATAAGGATGCTATTTCACATGGCGATGGCGATTTTTCATGCCTTATTTGAGAGCAGATGGAGCAGCAAGTAGGAAATATCGTCTAGAAGGTCTGCATTTACTGTCACAGGTGTTCTGCACATTGTCAGAAAAAGAAGCCTATCGCCTTGTTTGGAACTGAAGTGTCAATTCCAAGTCTGGTCCAGGACACAATATTCCCATTGATCTAGCAATGGAACAGTATCTAGGAATCATCAAACTTAATAAAAGAAAACTCGGTCCAAACCAAACCAATCCAAATATCATGGACTTTTATGTTAAAGCTCTTGTATATACTTAAAGCTTTTTAGATAGTTGCGATAACATGTGCAAGATAATAGGCCGATCAGGAAAACATTACAGACACTCTTTGAAACATGACATAATATAAAATCATCAAAGAGCTTCTCACAGGAAAGGCTTTTGTATGCCAGCCAATCAGAAAATTTCATCATTCTGCCAGCCAATGGAGCTCACACGAACCCAGTGACTATTGCCTGGATGCATTATTTGAACAAACTCTGATGAGACAGCATCATAATTTCTTTCAGGTCCAAGGGTAGGCCACTGAAATCGTTCAATCATTGGGTTCTTCTCTTTCAAAAGAAACTGTGATTGATGTATGATCACATCATTCATCCAACCATCTTCAGCTTTAATCGATGACAAAACGTTTTCAGTCGTTTCTCCACTTTTAGCATACTTCTCTACTTGTCCAGTCGTGATCTTGGTAATCATTAAATCTACTTCATCTGAGAATGTTTGCTGAGGCTTTTCAGACTTCAAACCATTGCACTTGCACCATTGAAACAACAATGTGGTTTTAGCATTGTTTGGCATTCTTTTATATTGAAGGTAAGGAAGATGAAAATAAGTTCACGCTCCCACAAATTGTTGTGACATTGCAGCAATTTTG